CGGTGGATTCATTAGAGAAGACTGTTGTTTTCCACACATACATACTGCTCATTAGTGCTTTTTTGTCCTAATAGCTCTGCAGTGTCTGTTTTTTTTTATGCGTTTGACTGTATGTTGTAACATTCATTGTAGTTGAGATTTAATCTGAAGAAACCAAATTCTGGAAACTTTTTGATAAAACATACTGACAGAAATCTTTGCACACAACACAAATGTTTTCCTGAGCAATTTGTGTGTTTTAAACAAACTTGCTTATTTTTGTGATGAGTGAATAAATAAATGTGAAAAATAAAAAGTCTCTAGGTGTTTTATATTTATTTAGGATTTGAATGTTGCCTTTTCATTAGCTCCAATCCAGAATTATCAGAATGTATGAATCACTTTATGAACTTGATACTGAAGGTTCCTGGGATTACAGGCGACGCATTTATGCATCATTTAATCAGCCTGATTATGGATGATAATTCTGACAATCGGACAACAATTACCACATTCTGCAGATACTTCAATTAAGCCTTTTTTATGAAATGTAAGAAATACATGAAAAGATTAAACTAAATAATTGAATTATTTAAAGCTAGAAAATAAACCTAGCGTTCCTTCAGTGAATGCTTTGTAACTTAAAACTTTGAGAAAAGAACATGAAAAGTCCAGCCCTTTCTGCTTCACTTAACATAAAGGCTGTGTTGTAATCTGTATTAATCTGCTGATTATCTTTTGGATTAACCAATTAACAGGATCGCAAGAGATGACAAATAAGTTTGTTGTTCTTTTATCAGATGGTTTTTTTCTGAGTCTGGAACTTCAGTTAATCAGTTACTAAATTAAATGACAATTATTTCAATTATCACAATTAATTTTCTGTCCTAATTTAAATGTGTCATCAGTTTATTGAAGCTTTCAGTGACCAGTTAATCATGCTCAACTGTCTCAGTCCTAATTTAAATGTCATTAATTTATTGAAATGTAGAGGATTTTTAAAATCTGTTACAAAATGTTTTTGGACACTTTTGGCTTAATTACTGCTCTGACTGTTCTTTTAGCAAATGGCCTTTTTTGAGTCTGTAAATGATAGTTAACGATGAATCCAGTACTAAATTAGTTGACTATTTCAACAATCGATTAATCATGATTTATCAATTCAGCTCTATGGTTTTCAGTACTGTTGGCTTTTATCCAACAGCAACATGTTTTTTTTTTTTTTTTTGTGGTTTGGGACACATCGAGGAAATAAAAAACGCTAAATCTGGAAAGCCAGTGACAGACTGGTGGATTCATGGGTTTCTCTCATTCATTCATTCTGGGCGTGCTGGGAAGAGAATGGTGGGCGGACTGGTGTTAACAGATCGGATATGCAGCACAAGGGGGCAAAATTCCTGTCCGCACAATGAGTTTTCTTGTTCCACTGGGCTTCTTAATGAAGGGGTGTAGCCGTGTGGGTGGAGGGGGGCATGCAGGGCTGAAGCAGAGTGCCGACTGACGGATGTGGGAGATGGAGAAGGGGCTCATTTTAGAGACAACCTCGGGCCTTATCTCGGTCTCATCAGGCCGGGCTGCATCTTTCAGCATCCTCCCTTTCCCAGACCATTTTTCTTTCATTTCTGGCTCCATTTTTGACCACATTGTTTCGTTCCTCTTTCAAAGCGACTGGAGTGACATAAAATTAAAGCTGCAAGTAAACTCAACAAACTAGGTACTTTTTATTTTCGGCTATGTTCACGCTGCAGGTGCCTTAGTGCGCAAATCTGATTTTGTGTGAAATCTGATTTTTTTTTTTTGTGAGCGGTTGTTCACATTTCCAAATATATGCCATTTGTATGATTTCCTGTGTTAAATTTTGAGTCTCTATGTAATGATCGTAACATTGACAACAGTATAAATAATGTTCTTTCGTTAGTCAAACATTAATTACACAAATGTCACTTCTTCTAAACCATCCCTAACTTTATACAGTGAAAGAATGAGTTAAATTTGTCCTTATTTTTTGTGAAGTCAAAAACCACTTGAAAATTTGCCCAGCTAAGTTTTCAATTCATTTTGTTTTGTTCTTGTTTCACAGCAAAAAGTAGGTTGAACACATACTTTATATGTTATGGCACATTTTACTGTATACTTTACGTATACAATGTTGATTGTATACGTTTATATTAATACTTTTTTTTTTAAATCACCTGACTGAACCACCAACAATCCTCGAAGTGTCCAGCATGTGTAGTAGAGGCCCCTGCCAGTTTTTTGATACATTTTGGGATTTTTTTTTTTTGTTTGTTCTCTTTAAACAAACAAACAAAAAAGAGTAAAAACATAATGTATAAGCTATGGTACATTTTTGATGTTGATTGTATATGTTTAAATTCATAAATACTAAAAAAATTGACTGTGAATCGCAATCTACAAGTTTCCCGCATGCGCAGTAGAGGACGCAGTAACGTCACACGTCGCGCGCTGCTCAGTGTTTGCGGAAGTAAACATGGACTGTAACGGTGGAGAGTACTTTATGATTTTAGAGTTGTTGTCCAGCACATGAACTACTTAACCCGCATTATCATCCTTTATGATTGTTGTTTTTCTTCCCGCTTCCGTATATTAGGATGCCGAATAGTGACGTTTGTCGAGAATCAATTACGTAAAGATCGGGTTAATTCGATCCCGTCGAAAAGATCAGATACTATCAAATTCCGATCTGTGTTTTTCAGACTGTCATGAAAAGATCAGATACAGGTTAACAATCGGATTTGTGTCACTTAAGGCTGAAGTGTGAAACCTTAAAAAACATTTCAGAACTGAATCCTTCTGTTCCTGGGAAAGAAAAGCGTTTTTCTTTGTTTTGTTTTTCTCTTGCCAGCCCTAATGGCACTGCTGCCGCCGCCGCCATCAGATCTGAAAATAACAGCCGGGAGAGGCCGCGCCGCGCCACAGCGCAGCACAGACTCGGTCCAGGAATATGTACCATGACTGAGGGGAGAGGATGCCAGGCGAGCCGGGTCTGGCACCGAACCGGGGCAGACAGGCTCCAAGCCTTTGGAAAGCCCAAACCGCGGTCGTCCTCAGTGAAGCACAGCGAGGTCTATCATCACACTACAGGCAAAAACTCACGTTTGTGAGTTTTTTAAAGGGTAAGTTCACTTATTACCCTACCATGATGCTGCCACGTCCTTGTTTGACAATAGGAGTGGTGTGCTGCTCTAGTAGAGTGGGTTTGTTTACGGTATCTCAAGTTCAAAGGTCACCGCATCAAAACTCTCAACCTATAGAAGAGAACAGAACTGGTGGAAAAAAATTTAAATTTAGGGTGCAAGATTTCTCCATCATTCTGAGATTAAAGAATGTAAATTGGCATGCTGACGAAAGAGAATTATGGGAATAAAATAATTTTGAGATTAGAAATTAGACTAAATTTTGACTTTTTTCCACCAGAATTCAGATTTTTAATCTGAGAATTCTGAAACTTAAACTCACATTTCTGGGACTAAAACATATACAATGGTGGCAAAAAAGACAAATTACTGAAATTAAAACTGACTCTCCAGATTAAAAACCAGAATTCTAGGTGAAAAAAATCTGAATACTAAATAAATAAAATCTTGGAGAAAATCTCTGAATTCTCAAATTAAGAATGAGGTCAAATTTTGACTTTCAGTCTAAAGTCAGATTTCTGACAGGAAAAAAAATCCAAATACTGAGATTAAAATATTTGAAATTAAAAAAGTCAAAATACTAAAATTAAAGTTAGAATTCTAAGATTAAAAATTAGAATTCTGGAAAAAAAAAAGGTCAAAATTCTGAAATACTATTTTCAAATTCTGAAATTACAGTTAAAGTTATTGCAGGAAAAAAAAATCATAATTCTGAGATTAAAATCAGAATTCTGGAGAAAAAAAGTCAGAATATTGAGATTACAGCCAATGGCTGTGGAACCTCTTGATGTGATAATACAAAGGATTCTACATAAAATCAAGAAAATCATGGACGACCTTGCTTAGGAAAACGGTGTGTTCAGTCAGAGGCTTCTTCAGATTCACTCTGATACAGACTGCTACAGGAGATGTTTGAAAAATTTGAATTCATATGAATTACAACATTTAGTTTCCCTTTGGGATCAATAAAGTATTTTTGAACTGAATTGAAGTTGTAAAACTGAAAGTCAGAATTTGTGGGAGTCAAAATTTAGAGATTAAAAGGGAGAATTTGGACAGTGGAAGCCAGATTTCTGAGATTAAAATCATATTTTTTTCTGTCAGTGGTCCTAATCCTCTTCTGTAAAATCTTCATACTTAATTTGCGGTCTTTCCGTCCACTGGTTGCAGATTTGCCTTGTAAACAGAGATTACATCCTGTAAAACTCCAGATTAGCATCAGACATTGGGCTTCACTGTTAGTGCAACCGCTTCACTTCTGCAACAGATTGGGGTCAAAAGATCAGCGCTGCTCTCAAAGCCGCCGTGCATTTTGCGGAAAGTGATGAGCTATCGAGTATCCGGCGAAGCGCAGTGCAGCCAGCCGGATCCGAACAGAGCAGGGTGTGTTCCCGGAGTTCAAAGGTCACCACATCAAAGGGCTGGACCGAGGCCGAGGACAGAAGGACATCCTGAGAGGACAGACGTTTGTCTCCCATATCTTCTTTTTATATTATTACAAAACTTTACACAAACAGTCGCTAATCTCCACAGCTTGGAGCGGGACACAAAGGGACAAAACAACAAAAATAAAAAGTATTTCTCATCCAAAAGGCATAAATAATATAAAAGGCAAACTTTTTTCTTTTAAACAGATACATTCATATGAAATAATATTTTACTACTACAAAAAATAAATAAGTCTTCTAAAGAGTTCTTGATGTTTCATGGGTTTTCCCTCCAGTGGGATTAGGAGTTTTTGTTTTGTTTCCATCTCTGAGTCTTTTCATTCCTTAACGTCCATTTTGTCTCAGTCCCGTTTCACCGTCACATTTAGTGTCTCTGTCTTCCTCCCAGTCCTCCCAGTGTTCCCACCGGCTGGGCTCAGGCCTCCTGCGGGCCGGCCGGGATCAGCTCTCCCACCAGCCTGCTGCTGGAGATCCAGCCGGGCTTCTCATCGCAGTCCAGGTCCGGCAGGCCCAGCCCGTCCCAGGAGGACACCACCTGGTCCTCCGTCTCCACGCTGTCCTCCGGCTCGTCCTCCGCTGCAGAAACCGCAAACACAGAGAGAGAGAGAGGTGAGACGGCTTTCCAGTTTGTACTTAAAAAAAAATAAATAAAATATCTACAGCAAATCAAAAAATAACTCCAAAGATTAAAGGAAACAATTTTATTTAATTGTTTTTCTTGTCACACCATTTGATTATGTTCTGTTTTTTGTATCCATTTAATATATACCTCCTTGTTTTGATTTGTTTATTTAGTTTTTGTTGCTGTTATGCTTTCTCCTACTTTGTAAATCTTTTTGTTGGTCTGTAAAATTTGTTCTGTGTACACTGGAGAAAAGAGGACGGATTCTGGAGAAGCTCACAGTGCAATTTGTGGCTTTGCTGCAAAGTTTGTCTGCAAACATGAGAAATGCTGATATAAAACCACAGTGGTGACAGTTCACTGCTGAACTATGAGAGCCTTGTAGCTCTTAAAGGGGCGGCGTCATAAAAAAATCTACTTCTTTTGCGCTTTACTTCATGCTATAATGTTATTCTCTCATCTAAAACAAACATGGAGTCTTACTTTGATTCTTTCCTGCATGTGTTAGACATACTTTAATCTCCATGGCAACCATTCAGCAGTGCAAAACGCCTGATTGGACCCAACTCCACACCCACTCAGCTCCTTCAGACTAGCCAGCAGCAATTAGTGGAACTGTGCATCTCATTATAGGAGCTACTTCTCACTGAAACGCTGGTAAAAATGTTAAAGGGTTAGTAGAGGAGCCATGTTGGGATGACTTCCAGAAGCTTCAGAAAGAGCTGGAGTTTTTAAAGAGACAGAGGCCCAATTTCAAGGCATTAAATCAGGAAGGAAAATTTCTTTTAAGTCATGTTTGATATGTACAAGAACCTGAACCTGTACAATACTTTATTGCACTACAACATGGCACAAAGAGCCTTGAAAAGACATAATGCTTCCCCCTGTAAAACAGCAGTTTTAGACTAACAATGAAAAGTATTTACACCCTTCACAACAAAAGTGAATGCAGTGTGTTGGCATTAGCTGTGGACAAAGTCTTCAGTCTGGTGTTTTGGTCTTAACTTTATTTCAGAGGATAATTTTATTTACAGAGACTTAATAATTTATTTGTTGTTCCGTTGATTTATTTTGGATATTTAAAATGTTGTCCAGTTCCAGTGTTAAATGTTCAGTAGGATTTAAAGTTTATTGGTCTTTGAGATTGTGTTCTTGCATTATTATGCCTTTATTACCATTATATTACTTGAAAATTGCCTCAAAACGACAACATTATCGTTTATCGCTTTAACCCAGCCATGACAGACCAAAGTGCAATTAGAAATTTAACAGCCAATGTAAAATAAATAATAAAACAAACTGACAAAAACATGTAAAATAAAAAACCCTGAAACAAATGGTTCAGAAAGAACAATTAGGAATTCTAAATAAAATGTAAATTAAATAATATAGCGTAGAATTAGACTGAATAGATCTGCCTATTGTCACAGATAGCAGATCTAGAATATTTTTTCCAATATCAGACCAATACAGATATTAATATCGGATCAGTGCGTGTCTACTTTATAGTTTCTGATCCACTTTCTTCACTAATCTGAACCCAGATGGACAAAATTTTATTTAATTTCCCTTCAGGATCATTAAAATACTATTGAATTTGAACAAATATGCTTTAAAATAATAATAATAATAATAATAATAATAATAAATAAATTACCGGTGCTGTCCCCCGGAGAGTTTTCAGTGTTCCGGATCAGACAGCAGGAATGCTGGGAAGGCGAGGACCCTCTGTTCCCGTCCGGCGGCTGGAAGCCAGCGCCGGGGTCGGACCCGCGGCACTGCGGGGAAACCTGGCCCAGCGGAACCATCTCCAGCCCGTCCTGGTGGCACGGCGCCACGCGGTGCATCAGCGGCGCAGCGCCGTTGGTTTTATTGTAGCATCTGGTCGGAGACGGAGAGACGGGATCAATACCAAAACAAATCAGGAACGGATCCAAACCGGCTGGCCAAACCGTGACACGTTGTGGTTTCTAAGTTTCCGACCTCGACGACACTTCATCGGTACACGATGTGATTGTGACGCCGCCCCCTCCGTCTCCCCAGCAGCCGGAGGTAAATAAACACAGAGCTCATTAGGTCTGCCGGCTGGATGCACACAGAGTAAACTGTGATGCTGGAGACTCTTAAACACATAAACAGGGCAACAGGAGGCCGGAGCTGCATCTCCGTCTGTGTGCGCGCGAGTCCGTTTGGGCCTCAGAAGCACAATCCGTCAGCTCCGCCTTATAAAATGTGAGGAATGTTTAATATTTTAACCAAGACTAACTGTTCTGCATCATTTAAGCATTTTCAGATTATTTTTTTTCCCCAGGTAAAACTGCAAACCATCAGGAAATGTGGGGATTTGAAATTACAGACCAAATATTTTAAATCTGAAAAGTGTGGCATGCCCTCCTGTACGTCAATATACATTACCAAATTATACCCAATTAGCCGCTAATGCTAGTGACGTGCATCTGCAGGCGCAATTACAAACGGGAAGTATCTGTCACTTATTTCTTATTTGGTTTCTATAAAAAATTAAGAATATTTCAGATGTTTTGATGTTTGGGACCAAAGTTGCAACATTTGTTACATTTTCAGTTGCTGTGCTTCTATTTCTCTCTGCACTGTGTCAAATGAACAAAACCCTTAAAAAAAAATCTGTTCCCCTCCTCACCTGTGGGGGCGCTGCTCCAAAAACCACTGAAGCAAATTACATAAAAACCTCTGACAAAGACAATGAGCGCAACTTCCTTCTTCACAAAATGTAAAAAAAACAGTGTGGGGTCAGATTTTAGCAGTTGTAGGATTTCTGTTTTGTCTTTGGTAAAGGACAACAAGCCATTTCTCCCGCTAGCGCTAGGCTAACACGTTTGTTTAGTCCACTTTAATCTACCTCTAGCTCATTTGTTTAGAAGGTCCGGTTTCTTTGAGGTGTGAATATGTAATCAAACTCTGATGCCGACCAAAAAAAGCAAACTCCAGTCTGGCTACAAACCTAGATGTCGGGTTGGTTGACCTTCAGGTGCGGTTCGAATGCTGATGTGAACGTCAAGCGGACTAAACACTGCTCCAAAAGCAGGAAGTGAACTACAGTGAAGGGCATTCTGGGTAAATGGACAAAAAACTTGAGAGTCTAGCGTTAGTAGGTATAGCTTGTGGTTTTTTACCAAACAAAAAATAGAGAAATCCTACAACCGCTAAAATATGATGCCACTCCATTTTTGTTTCCATTTCATGAAGAAGGAAGTTGCGCTCAGTGTCTTCTTCAGATGTTTTTTTTTTTTTTCCATTCAGTAATTCTTGGTGCAGCGCCACCACAGTCGAGGAGGGGAACAGGTTTTTCAAAAGCGAACCAAACCAACTGAAAATGTAACAAATGTTGCAGTTTTGGTCACCAAAGGCGGCTGTCCCTGGATCCACTGTAACTGAATTCAACATCTTGATAGATATTGAAGTTTGTCTTAAAGACTATCCAAATAAAGAAACAATGTAGGTTTGTCTGTAGGAATCGTCGAAACGGAGCTCAGCATGTTTTCTAAAGATGCAAAGCCCAATACAGTGACAATAGTCGCCCACGTTTGAGTTGCGTTTATAGAGAGCTGAACATTGAGGGTGAAGTTTCTGCATAAACTGTGTGGGACGTTGTAGCCTGTGTAGATTATGCTTCTGTTTTCCCTTTGTCTGTTGCAGAAAAAAATGTTTTTTTGTTAGTGAAATGGCCCTTGACCATGTTTCGCTGTTAATCTCAACTCGCAAATCCGTTTCCCAGTGGGTTTTGGACTTTTCATTTGGAAGAGGATTTAGCATCATTAGTTGCCCATAAAAAAAAGAAATCAATTTCTTTTTATGGTTGGAACGCTCATTAAATTTAAGAAAATGTTCTACGGGATTTAAGCTTGGCTGGTCATCTGGAAAAGTAAGTGATGATTGCACAAAATGTCTTAGTTGGATAAAACTAAAGAAGTCCTTCTGTAAAACATCATGCTTAATTTGTATTTGCCTAAAAGACATAAAACCACCTTCATCAAACAAATCAAAACCAGTTTTAAGTTTTTGTGATACCAGTTGAAAAATATACTTCGACCAATGCCAGGGGAAAGGCTGCTCTTAATAAGCGGCTCCATTGGACTTGAATATTTTCCTCTCCCAATGAGTCATAATGTTATGCCAAACTTTTAGTGTTAAAAACAGTAAGTTTTTGTTTCTAACAATTGTCTACATGCAATTCAGACTGGTGTTTAAAAAAAGAGTTTAAGCATCTTGATATTAACCTAGCATAGCAAGCCCAATAATAATATAACTCAGAATAGCCTGACGTACAGCTGGGCGATTTCAATTTCTGATTTTAATGGGGGTTTTTTCCTATTAGTGTTTTTTTTCCTATTAGTGACTTATTTCCAATAATCTCTTCTGAGTTGTGCAGTTATTTAATACTAAATATGATTAAGTATTCAACATGAAATGATTGAATATTGCATCATATTCAATAATTTCACTGAACTCCGATCCAGAACCGCACAGCATTCTGGGGGATGTAGGCAGAGGAAAGCCTTAGCCGCGCAGCCTCTCAAGGCTAGCTCAGCTAGGTTGGTGGAATCAACTAACTCACTCTTTGGTTACCTAGCAACTCATCCATTCTTTGGTTACCTAGCAACTCATCCATTCTTTGGTTACCTAGCAACAACCTGTTAAGTAACTTCTGCAGCAGCAGTTGAAGGTTTCCCCACCATTCCTCGTAACTGCTTAAAAATAAAAAAACAACAGCGTGGAGTGGAAGGTCACAAGGAGACCTTGGAAGAAATGAATGAGACAAAGGGAGACCAGGGAAGGAGTGAAGGAGACAAAGAGGCCATGGAAGGAAAGAAGAAAGAGAAAGAAAGAAAAACAGGAATAAAGGAAGGCAGTTTGAACAGAAGAATCTCCATTGTCTTTACGAACTTCCTCCCACCTGTTGTTGTTGCAGAGGTTCTGGCAGCTCATACACTCCGATGTCTCTTTCTGAGGAAGAGCCGTGTACAAACTCCCACCCTGAAAACACAACACCAACATCTGAGTTAGCCTCCAAAGAACAGCGCACAGACCCGTCTGCTCCGGCCGCCGGCGGAGAACTCACGTTCAGGTGGTGGTGGAGGTGCGGGTGCTCACACTCGTGGGTGCTGTGGGGCAGGGTGCCGTCGTGGCCGTGCGGGACGAAGCCGCTGGAGCCGTTGAGCAACGCCAAGCCGTTGGGGAGTTTGTGGTGGAGGTGATGGCAGCCCTGAGGCAACATCTGGCCGCCGTAGCCGCCGTGAACGCCTCCGTTCACGCGCCCGCCGCCCGCCGTCAGCGTGGTGTACTCGAGCACGTGGCCGTTCAGGTCCGCCGGCTGGTACAGGTAGCCAGGAGGGTCATACTCTGCAAGGCGGGGCATAAACTGAGAGCTTTAGCTCCTTTGAACCTTAAAATCGAGCCTTATTGTGCAAAATTCACTTTTTGTATTTCCATTTGGGTCTCAACCGCTTCTAAAAACAACTCAGCCCAAGCCAGCTGTGTTTGTTGGTGTCTGGAAAATTAGCCATTTCAAAATCATTTGAAATGCAACATCACAAATCAGCAGGCTCTGCACTGTTACCTAGCAACTGCAACAGAGGTTGTTATTGATTCAACCAACAGGTTGAAATATTGATCTTACCAATCTGATTAATCTACAATAAAATGTAAGGTTTGTTTATTTGCACTGACCAAACAAAGTTAATTTTCCAGTAAAAAAAAACCTTTAGCTCACTTGAGGAAGCCCAATGAATGATGGGAAAAAGGCTGCAGGAAGCATAGACCTCTGACTCCTTTTCAAATTTCCTCCAAAGCTTTAAAACCCACAACTATTTCCACATCCAGAAGGTCAAGGAGCGAACGTACTGAACCATAAGCCAACAGTTTTGCAATCACCTCGGGACATGTACATGCACTGGAATATGACTCACAAGCCGCCGTGGAGCCAACGATTACTAAAGGTGACCTGTTACGTTTCCCTGGACAGGTTAGGATAGCTCTGTAGGCCATATAAAACACGATAAATATATTATTATTTGGACAACAATATTCATAGATAATGAGATTATAGTCTGTGCAGGGCCTCCTTTCAGAATGAGCCGTTTCCGCGTGTCTGCTGTTAGCCACGCCCCCTAACTTGACGTTTGCATCCGTTTTCACTTATGGGTGTAAACAGATGTGTAAGTATACAACCGTCTTTGAACATTACATAAACCTTTTCTGGACTGTAAGTCAACAACAAAACTCGCCGTTTCAGCAGCAACCGTACAGCGCATATAGCCGTAAAACCAACACAAAAAAAGAGAATTGAGCATCAAGATCTGCTGTTTATCGTCAAAAATCTGCTTTTTTAAAGGTTTTTAGAAGCAGTTGAGACCCAAATTGAAGTACAAAAATGTGCAAAATGTGAATTTTGCATAATCAGTCGTTGGTCTCACTGTGCATGTTGTTCTGCTGCCGGTTCCTCCACAGACACATAGCGATGAAGGACAGCAGGATGAGCAACATCACTCCTAGCATGCAGCCGACGATCAAGTACAGCAGACTGCCGGGCGACGTCTGGGGGTCCGTAGGGTGCGGGCCGGGCGGGGTGAAGGGGTGCTGACTGGGCGAATCCGGAGACTGACGAGCTGCAGGGAAGAAGAAGAGGAGCGGCAGCTTCAGAGGAGAAGCGTTTGCTGATGACATCATCATTATCAACACTAGAGGCTGAAACTCTCACCTCTGGTCTCACAGATCATCACGTTGCTGTAGTCGCTCTCCCCACCGCCGTTGAAGCACTGCATTTTGATGTCATAGGACGTCTCTGCCTGCAGGTGGCCAATCATGTGCCAGGTTTTCACACCTGAGACGACGAGACAGGAAGTCAGAGATACGCATGAAGATACGGTCGGGTTGCTTTAAGGACGAGGAATCACATTTACCGAGTAGTTTTAGATCATTTTTAAATTAAAGGAAGCAAGGACGGACAACAAGAGAAGGAAACGAGTAGACCAAGGAAGGAAGGAAATTAAGAAACAAGGAGATAAAGGAAGAAAACCAAACAGGGGATGAAGGACACATGAAGAACTAGGAAGGGAGGAAGGAGGCAAAGGTAAGAAGGAAGAACACAATGAGAATTGGAAAGAAAAGAAGTATACAAGGAAAACAAGAAGGGAAAAAAGCCTGCAAGGAGACTAAGGTAGGAAGGAAGGGCACAGAGATAGCAAGGATGGAAGGAAGGACACAAGGAGACTAGGGAAGAAATAAAGGAAACCAGCTTTCCTTACCAAGCTAGTAAGGAAAGACATGAAGACCAAGGAAGGAAGCAGACTAGGAGACCAATGAATGAATGAAGAATAAATAGAGAAAAAAAGATGGAATAAAAACACAAGAAAACCAATTAAGGAAACAAAACGAAGGAGGAAATTCAAATGTCTTTGTGCAGAAACCTGATAAATAAAACTGATTCTGAAAGACAATGTGACTAAGGAAGGAAAGAAAGATATTTTTTTGGAATAATGAAGTCTGGAAACAAATATTTTGTCTATTTCCGTGTTTTCATTCCTTACACCTGGAAACATCAAATTCTGTGCTGTTTCAGGTTTTCAGCCTCCACAGCCCTCCTGTAGAGTGTGGTGGAGAAATTTAAACCACATTTCTGTATATTTCCCCTCCAAGGAGCCAGGATTTGTTAACCAAGAGTTTTCCCCTGGTCTCATTTTCAGTGCAGTCCCTGTTCACAACCACAACACCAGACCAGGCAGGACCCAGACGGTCACATCGCTCTGTTCCAGCTCCATATATGGCCGCTTCATGTTTGCTCTGGCTGGCCTCCAGTATTCCCACTCCGTACATTCCCCACGGCTCAACAACCACATACTGTCACACCGCAGCAACGTGCTGCAGAATCACACACCAGACAACGGCCTGTGGATGTGGAAACGCTACATTTCCAACAAATGAGGCTGAAATGAGCTGCTGCTTATGGTCCGAGTGGTGCAAAGTGACCTTCTGAAAACATGCTGCTGCCTGAACGTACGAGGGCTGAGTGATGGGAGTAAATGTGGAAGTTAATTAGTGATGTACAGGCCACAATTTTATCTTTAATCATAATAAAAAAGGAGAAGGACCCATTGGAATAACTTAAATCTGTATAAAAATGTCTTTTTATTGCATAAAGTTTGTATTAAAATATTTAAAATTTGTTGTTTTATGAAAGAAAAGCAACAAATGTATTTTGCAGCAGCTTTGTGCAGCGCATACAGCGGTAAAACCAACTGACCAAATGTGATAGAACTCAGTTGGGGTTGCTAGGTGACGGCCAGAGCTCTGCTGGGGTTGCTAGGTAACGGGCTGGGCTTTTTCCTGCGGTTACTAAGTAACTAACTGCTGATTATTACATACGTAAGAGTTTTGAAACGGCTCGTTTTCCAAACACCATCAGCCTGCCTGACCGGCTGAAACTTGGTTTTTCCTCCTGTGTTTAAGGAAATCCAGTCATGGGCACACTTCCGCTACTGCGCTATTAGTGGAGTTAAGTTAGCATGTTAGCATTTTTGCTGATTTTAAAAACGTTTACCACACTTAGATTTCCTAAAGACTGTCTAGTTCTGCTTCCTCTCCTCACATTCTGTCTCTTTTTTCCTTAAACTTTATTTCAAACAAGAAACTTCCAGGGACAAAATAAAACCAGATAGCAGAGAACCAGATGCGCACTCTGCCACTAATCTACTAATGTGCTAACAGCGAAGCTAATTTTTCACTAATTGACTTGGCTCATTTTTAAACTTTAGGTTGAATAAAGTACAACATTTGTGTTGAAATTTTGTTGACTGTTAAGAATTCTCCAAGTAGTTAGACGTTTATATTCACGCTTTTATTTTGAAATGAGTGAAGATCGTTTACGCAGCATTTCTGGTTTCTCTCCTCATGTCCTCCACCCTTAATGCGATACGTTTATTCTGTACCCAGAATGCATTGCTGTGCAACCCCAGTTGTGTTAATAAACATCTGTTTTTTGTATGCCGTCTTTAAAATGCTGAAATTAGCATGCTGCCTGGATTTCAAATTAAGAAATATACGTAGACCAATAGTTAGAGGTTGGAAAAACCTGAAATTGTCTCCAAATTGGACAGAAATCCTCTGAATATGGCTGCAGTTTGTTTGCAGTGTTTAATGTTCTGAACTTGGAGTGACATTTTCAGCTGTTTTGATATTTTGGAGCCCAGCCAGGCGGTGGGTTTGGGAAGCCAAATGCTCAGATGTTGCAGAGTCGTGTTGGGTAAGTAGATGCCTCTCCTTCCCTTCCTGCAGCAGGCTCAACTGTTAGCATTCCAGGCGGCAACCTGAACCCCTTTCCTCTGAACGGGCTCCGGTTTCATCCCGGTACCATTAGCAGGCAACCGTTTATTAAAAACAGACCCCAGAAGACACCGTCTCAATAAATCAGACGGAGAGAGATGTCCCTTCTTCACTACTCCCAGTATCCGTTACGTTTCCAGCTCCCAGTTTATCTGGACACTCTGAGGTTACATCTACGGCAGGACAAGGCTGTCGACAAACACTCTGTGAACTCAACCTACGGCGTGCTTTAAAAGTTACCTGTTATGCTTCCTTGTACAGGTTAGGAAGGGTTTATGGTGTTATACAAAACATGTCCAGCATATTTTTTTGTACAAAATAATTCTTAGATAATGAGATTTTAACCTGCTCAGTTCTGCCTATTTGGGTTGTTTTAGGGCTTCTTGTCACTTTAATAAGCTGCTTATTAGGATTCAACAAGTAAATCAATGTTTACACTCGCACATAAAATAACTGCAAATAGTTTTGCATCCATGCATATCTCAGAACGTTGTCTGGAAGGTAGGTAAAGTTTGCATTTCATTAGGAAATTAAGGTCTCAAAGGTTGGAAAGGTTCAAGTCCAGTGGTTCCAGTCGGTGATGGTCTGGGTTGTCATGTCAACTGTCCAGTGGGCCACTGGGTTTTCTAGAGACCGATGCAGCTGTCTACAAACATTACAGCAATTTAGAGAAGCTGAGTGACTCAGTGGCGCAATAATATAACCGTAGATCTTTGAAAAACAGAAGTAGAGCCTCCTGAACAACCAACAAAAATGCAGAAAGTGGATTCAACAAAGCTGCAGCCATTGTTACAGAGCATTAAGGCCACGCTGTGAAAATAAAAAAAATAATATTGCGAGAATAGAGTCATAACATTACATCTTTATCCTCGTAGAAATATGGCTATTCTCATTAATATGATTTTATTCTACTTTATTCTTAAATGACTTTATTCTCATAATTTTATCTTTTTTTTTTACTTAGTATGGCCTTAATAGTCTGTCAGACACTGAACAGCGGTAAAACCAGCTGAACAAACATGCTGGAGCTCGAACTGCTGCGTAAACTGTATCATGTTGGGTTGCTAAGCAACAGGCTTGACTTTGCTGGGGTTGCTAGGTAACGGGCTGGGCTATGCTGGGGTTACTAGGTGAGAGGTCGTGCCTGCTTATTTGTGGCGTTACATTCAGAAAGTTTATATTTCAAACACCAAAACACATAGTCTTATTTAAAAAAAAAAGTTATATTTTTAAATTGTCTGGATTGTTTTTAGAAGCAGTAGAGACCCAGATGGAAGTACAAAAGCATGCAAAATGTGAATTTTACACAATATGTCTGCCATAAACTGCCTGGTTCTCTCACCTTCCACCACGTCTCTTTTGTAGTCGCTGTCATTGTCGCTGTCCGTGGGTCGGTAGTAGATGTAGAAGCCTTGGATCGGAGTGTTGTTGTTACTCGAGGGGTCGTACTGGCAGGAAAAAACACATTTGTTAGACGGCAGAAAATCAGCGGGCAATTACAACCCAAAGCGGGGCCATTTTCCCCCGCGGCGGCTAATGGCGGGCCTCGTTATCAGCACATGATGATTGCGCTGTCTGCCCGAAGCTCGGGGAAATAATGAGGCCGGCTTAAATCAAGTGGAAAAAATGAGGGGAAGTATCTGCATCCATCTGCAGCTCCAACAGCAGAATCAGAACAAAGAGGGAAATTTCTTCTTTAATCAGAAAACATCTGATCTCAGCTGCCACAGGATGCAGGAAACTGGTATTCACGACATACAGGAAAGTTAGCATCGTAAATATTAACGCAAAATTCTCAAAATTTTGCAATTCAGTTCTAGAATCATTAAGCTAGTTAACAAGAATACTAATGCTGTTAGCTTTTTTACATCCCTTGTTGGTTAGTTAATGCCAGGAATAATCCTCTTTAATCTCTGTAAAACATTTTATTTTAATGCTTTTCATATGTATATGTTTCCAAAGCATCTGTATTTTATTTATTTGTTTTTAAATATGATGAAAATACTAAAACATGGGATAATCTGAAGGATGCAGTGGTTCTCACATGTCTTCTTTACTTACTCTCTATCAGTTTGGAGGCTTAATATTTTCTTTTTTTTTTTTTACTAAAGTAGGAGAAGAACAAACCAAGAAAAATAAAAAGTTCAGAGTGTTTTACTGTTTCAAAACGCCTCAGGTTCTTTCAGCTACATGAAAGTAAGTTTCTCTCTTAGTTTCTCCAAAAGACAGAAATCCATCTTGTTTTCATCTCATCAATAATTCCTTAACATTGATGGAAAAAGTACTATTTCCACTGGCAGATTATTTTATTTATAACAAGACATTTCTTTCTCTGTTATTAGTGAAGTAATATACCAATGAAACAAGTATTTTTAATCAATATTATTGGCAGATTATTTCACTTATAACATGGGGGAAAAAAAACTTATTTGGCAGTGGAAATTTTACTTTTTCCATAAATAGTAAGGAATTATTAACTTAAGCTCCTATGTGTTGCTGAAAAGTCACTTGTAAGTTAATTTTGTCTTATTTCAAGTGCAACAAGACATTTTAACTATAAACTAAACAAAAATAGCTGTAAATGAAAGTGTTTGTTTTGGTGGACTCACGGTCCAGCGCAGCATGATCTGCGTGTCGCTGATGGCATCCGTGGCCAGGATGTGCGGTCCGACCACGGGCCGGTCGGCCTTGCGGGGGCTGGCGTTGGGGACCTGGTACGGCTTGGAGGGAGTGCTGGGCAGGCTGTCGCCGTACGTGTTCGAAGCCAGGACCCGAAACTTGTAGGTGGACCCTGCCACACGAAAACATTCAGATTGAAAAATACTTTTTTGATCCCAAAGGGAAATTAAATGTTTTCTCAACTCATATTAATTCAGATTCTTCAAAGAGTCATTGTAGATGGAGATGGCAGGAAAGATGGTAAGAAGCAGAGTTGGGAAGTAACTAGTTATATTTCATTTGTAGAAAATAAATGTACTTTTTGGAGTATTTTTACTTTTTACTTGAGTAATTTTATTATGAACTTCAGTAAAAATTTCTGGATACTTTACACACCGTTTTAACTAAAAATTCACCAGACAGACACACACCTGCAGTTTTTGTTAAAATTCCATAAGTTTTATTTTTAAAGAAATTGATTATGAATTTTTTTTTTGTGTTTGTTATGATTTATGTAAATTATTTTAATTTTGATCTTTAACATACCAAAGTTTCCACGCAACTTTATATTTTGATCTGTCTGATGATGTAATTTTTGAATATTAAATGATTGATAATTTGATCAGTTGAGTCGCCTTTTTAAAGTTCTCCACCCAACTCTGCTAAGAGTTGTTGCTGTAGGGGAAAATCTGGCTGGATTAATTTAGATTTTCCTGACTAACATGAAGCCTCACCAGGCTCCAGATTGCGGATTTCCACCGACAGCTTCAGAGGTGAGATGTTATCCGCCGCCACGATCCACTCCGCGCTGCGGCCGCGCCTGTACTCCACTCGAAACGCTGTGACCGGGGAGCCGCCGTTGGCTCGAGGGATCCATGCCACGTAGACCGAACTGTCGGTTGCCATGGAGATGGTTGGACGGTCCGGAGCTTCTGGGACTGTGAACAAATCAAATGAACATCAGGACTCATGAAGACAGAATTGCAGTCTTTACTCTGTTGCCTAACATGCTAACATAAGTGAACATGATCAGGATAGTCTTTAAGCTAACATTAACTTCCTGGCTAATTTACACATAAAAGCTCAAGTTTACTTACAGAAAGGATTAACTTAATGTTACCCATAATGTTAAGCTAACATTAGCTTCTTAGCTAATTTGGACTCCAATACTAATGTGGACTTTACCTTTTGATACCAACTATAATGTCACAAGATGCTCAGTATTCCTCATTTTAAGCTTGGTATAAAGTTAAAGTATAAAGTTTCTCTAAAATTATGACTTTATTCCATTACTGAATGGATTAAGATAATGTACCAATTATTATAAGCCAACATGATAATGAAAGAATTTAAGCTAACGCTAGCTTTCTAGCTAATGTCAACGCCAAAGCTAAAGTGAACTTCCAGAGCAGATTAAGCTAATGTTACCCTTAATGTTAGTGTAAGCCAACATGATAATGAAAAGATGTAAGCTAACGTTAGCTTAATGGCTAACATTAGCTTACACACTGCACTTTTTAGTTATGAGTACAAAAGAATGTATGAAACTTTGAAAGATGCATACTCACTATTATGGCTCTTAGTCACAGAGACAGAGGCAGAAGGGGTGGAAGGAAAAGAGGGTTAGCTGAAGAAAGAGATGAACCTCCAAGCAAAAAGTTTAGTAGCAAAGTGAGTAAAACATGCATACAATGTGACCCTAATGCTGTGTGCAGACTGACACATTTTCTGCTTACAGCATTTCTCTTCCAAGGAGTCGTTACATGCTGTCAGCTGCTGGTTCACTGTTTGTGCTTCCATGCGAAACAAAGCAGAGATCTTTCTTTCTTCCTTTTTTTTAAGCATTAAGATGTGTGTAACTAGACCCAGTCCCTCTCTTCCAGTAAGTCTGCAGAATCCAGAATGAAGGGAATGATTCTGTCATACTGATCTGGTCTACACCTACGTCTGTCATGGAGGACGACGCCATAGTTGGTCTTCGTGGGTCGGTCCTCTGGAACCTTGGGTGGAATTGGGATGCTGGAAGGCTTGGAAGGATTCTTATTACTGGGGGAGATGGTCTTTTCTGGAAAAAATATGAAAAAAAAAGCTGGGAGTGAGACAACATTAGCAGCAGGAACCAGCAGCAGATTTAAAGCTGATGAACATTTTTCTATCTTGCTGTGTATCCTGGAGTTTTAAGAAGTACATGGGTGTAAATGTGAGAAGATGAATGTAATTTTCTGGATCTTCAGAAATTTCTGCCATGTTTGAAGTGTCTGTGCCACTTTTGATGAATTTCTGTTCTGAATAGAGCATCTTTATTGGGATGAAGCGTGTGGAATAAGGAGATATCACTGTTACTATGAAGAAGATAATCTGGGAAGGAATTTTTAATGTTCAATGGATGCCTTCGAGTGATCAAATAGCTGGAATTAAAGAAATGTCAACATTGATTTCTTTACATTAGTTTGAACGTATGGAAACCAGAGAGATGCTAATACTGATTTTTTTAAAAGCTGCTCAAAAACCATTTGAGATTCTTTTAATATGCTAATAATTTCCATTGAAATACAGATAATATAACCATTTAAAAAAACAAAAAAGGAGAAGTGAATTTTTTTAATGAACCTGAACACTGATAGTCATAAAAGTCTTAAAAGTTTCTGACTCTGGAAAACTTTGTAACACAACAATAACATTGTTGTTCTTTTCATGTATCTAAACTAGGACTGGATAATAAATCAATAATAGTATATGTCATGATAGACTCATAATATCATTAGATAACGCGCCTGATGCAAATTTCAATAATTTCACTGAACTCTGACCCAGAAGCGCACAGCATTCTGGGTGATGTAGGCAGAGGAACGGCTTTAGCTGCTAAACCTACAGTGGCTAGCTAAGAAAAGTTAGTTGAATCAACTCACTCACTCTTTGGTTACCTAGCAACTCACCCATTCTTTGGTTACCTAGCAACTCACCCATTCTTTGGTTTCCTAGCAACAACCTGCTGAGTAACTTGCACAGCAGCAGTTTCAGTTTTCACCACTCAGTGACTCATAGCTGCTTAAAAGTAAAAATTAACACCACCACTTTGTCAGTATTTCAGATATTTAAAACAAAAAAAAATATCAATAAATATGGATATTGAGTGATTTAGACCGCTTTTACCGTGATCCGTTTTTCAGTCATATAAACCAGCACTAATCTAACCTAAATATTTTCACTGTGCAGCAAAAACACAAAATCTTACCAAGTATGTTTGGTCTAGTTTACCATGGGAAAATGTGTTGTTATAAGTGAGAAAATCTGCCTGTGATAGTACTTTTCTTGAAATCTTAAGGAATTGTTTACTTAAAACAAGCTCCTTTATCTTTCTGGAAAGTTACTTGCAAGTTAGTTTTGTCTCATTTCAAGCACACTAATATATCTGCAGTGAAAACTAGACCAAAAACACGTGTTGAAACCAGTTTATTCACCGTTAAAAGTGTGTTTTGTTAGCTGGACCGACCTTTTCCGGTGCGGAACGTGAGCATGGCCGGCTGACCCTCGCCCGCTGCGCTCCGAGCCACCATCAGGACCTCGTAGAGGCTGGAGGGCTCCAGCTCCGACAGCCGCAGGGTTTTTTCGCTGCCGGGGACTCGGACCGTCTGCCAGCTTCCCACCACTGCTCCCATGTCGTCAACCTGATGCAGAAACACACAGATGCCTGTAAGCAACAGGGAATTTGCTTTTTTCAGGTCAGCATTTTTTTTAAAGCTCAGAAACAATGCCTGGGAGATTTATGTCACAATTTCCAACTTTAGCAAAATTGAGTGCTGCTGCCAATGCTGTCCTTAGTGGTTTTGCTGCAGTTTTATAGTGAGATGGCTGCTGAATCAGAACATTTTTTAAAGGGGGAATAAGTACTGAAGGGGTGTCCAAACTTTTTGTCACATGGGACAAAATTGCCAGAAGAAACTAAAATCAAGCAAATTAAGTAGTTTTTTTGTTGTACAAAATAGATGTTATTCATCGTAGATTAGGTCTGGGCAGTAAGGCTGCGAAATGTATCACAATATAAGCATTTCTTATCAGTCGATATCAATGATTATTGATTAGTTTTATGTTTTAGATAAGTAATAAAATAATTCCTTAATATGATTTTTTTTTAAAGTATATAACTAAAACAAGACATTATTCCCTTGTTAAATTAGACCAAAAATACTTGGCAAGCTTTTGTGTTTTTGCTGTGTAGTGAAAATATTTGGTTTCATATCAGTTAGTATCCATAATTATTGATTAGTTTTTTTGTTTTAAATATCTGAAATATTGCCAAACTGAAGACATGACCTGTCCTGGTTCATTCACAGTTCTCACTCCACCTCGTTGTTTTTTATTTTTAAGCAGTTATGAGACAAATTGGCAGAACTTTAAACTGCAGGTTACTCAGCAGGCTGTTGCTAGGTAACCAAAGAACGAACAAGTTGCTAGGTAACCAAAGTGAGTTACATAGAGTGAGTTAGTTGGTGCCACCAAACTTACTTGGCTATTTTATATGCTGAATATTTAAAATGATATCAGACGTATCATATTTGTTAAGTGTTATCATGATATTTATTATTATTGGTTTATTTTTTAGCTCTATTGTAGATCCAAGCTTAAAAATTACTTTATTGCTGTATTTCAATAAAAACTCCTAGTTTTCAAATTATTTTGGATTTGACTGAACAAATGTGCCGTCTTTTTAAGCATTTGAGCCACTTCCTTGCAAAACACTTGCTATATTTAGCCAAGTTTAATAATTTAAATAGAAGCTGATGTGGCTGCAAAGTCGGCTTTTCACTTAATGTCTCTGGATAGATGTGATTCTATTTATTTTTAAAATTTGGTTGTAAAAATATGAACACACTGCAAAAACACAAAATCTTACCAACTAATTTTGGTCTAGTCTTTAGTGCAAATATCTTAATACACTTGAAATAAGACTAACTTAAAACTAACTTTTCAACAAGATATTGAGGCTTGTTTAAAGTCAATAATTTCTTAATATTTATTTACAAAAGTTCACTGGCAGATAAATTAACTGCCAATGGGGAAAATGTCTTGTTATGGAACAAGAACTTTTTCATCAATATTAAGGAATTATTGACTTAAAACAGGTCTCAATATCTTGCTGAAAGTTACTTATTAGTTTTGCCCTATTTTAAGATATCTGCAGTGGAATACTTGGTAAGATTTTGTGTTTTTGCAGTGTACTTTGTGCAGCACTTAACATTTCATTAATATTTTTACTTTAAAAAGTCATCAGCCACCTCCTTGCATTTTTGATTCACTCGCTTCAGTCACTTCAGTTCAAACAGGGAATAAAAATGGCAGCAGAAACGTTTCTCACCTTGCGGTATTTAACAAAGTAAGCGCTGATGGGACTGCCTCCGTCTCGGCCCGCTCTCCACTCCAGGTCGTAAACGTCCGGTTTGTGCGTCTGCGGCGGGCTGATGATGATCGGCGCCTCCGGAGTGGGCCGGTCGCCGCTCCGGTCAGCCGGCGCGTTAAACGGGTCGTCGTCTTCGGTCAGGAAGCTCTCGTCGCTTTGAATTGGATGAAACGACGGTGAAGCCTGGGGCAGCAGAACGGCAGTGGATCCCAACTGTGGATCTGCGAGGGAAAAAATATCAGATCTACGTCAGAGGAGACTAAATCTGAGATAAATCACATGAATCGATAACTGTTCACTTACTGGATGTGTCAAAACTTAAGGTCTAAACTCTAAACCGAACATCAAAAAAGTACGGAAGAGGATTAGATCCACTGATGAAAAACATTCACTTTAATCTCAGAATTGCAGCCGCGTATTTGGGCCTTTGTAGACAGAACATAAATAAGGAGTACATTTCAGCTAGAACCCTGAAATGTACTCAGTTGTAAAGTTTTAAAGTTGTCCAGTGAGTGAAAAAAGGAGAAAAGCTTGATTTTTTTTCTTTTTATCTTTGATGATCAGGAAATGAAAAAACTAAATGCAGGTCTTAAAAACAAGTTGTGAAATAGATAATTAATGATAAACGTGTGATTTAAATATATAAATTAATGTAAAGCCAACAGCATTATTACATTTTTGTCCTTTAAAAAATGGATCAAGAGAAAAACGATAAATAAACCTGAAACATTCAAAAATAAAGTGAAAGAAAAGTTAGCTTCTATTACAAAACAACATTTTAGGAGGAAATCGTCTCCAGGATGTGTCAGCTTTCTGCTGAGATTTATGCATCATCAGAATCTGAACCTTAATTTATATTTTGATCCATTTAAAGTTGCAGAACATTTACAGCAGCCTCAGCTGTGCTTCACAACAAAACAACATCACAGGCAGACAAATGATGAAACACAAAATAAAATTTAGTAAAAATAATAATAATCTTTCTTTCTCCTCCAAACCGCTGCGGCTTGGAGAATCCAAACAGCCGACACGAACTGGACGCCGAGGTCAGAGCTGAACTGGGAGCAGTGGGAGGTTTTCCACATTTCAGGGCTAAGTGTCCCGTAACAAGCTGCTGCTGCCGCTGCGCACCGGCCCGCTTTGTAAAACAAACAGGCCTGCAGCTGGTAACACTAGACCTGATTCCCGGCCCGCTCTGCCGCTGCGCACCGGGCCGCTCTGCCGCCGCGCACCGGCCCGCTCTGCCGCCGTGCACCGGCCCGCTCTGCCGCCGTGCACCGGCCCGCTCTGCCGCTGCGCACCGGCCCGCTCTGCCGCTGCGCACCGGCCCGCTCTGCCGCTGCGCACCGGCCTGCTTTGTAAAACAAACAGGCCTGCAGCTGGTAACACTAGACCTGATTCCCGGGCCGCGGCCGGCTGTCGCACATTCCACACACCGACCAGTAAAACACCAGAGAGAATCGGACCTGAGCGCCCGGAGAAACAAACATGGTTCATTAGGGAGATGCACATGGATGGAGAACACCTAAAGCTCACTTTGGTTTGTAGGGCTGAAACGATTAATCGTGATTAATTGATTAACTAAGTTAGCAATCGATTAATCTGCAACTGCAATTGATGACAACTGAAGGCAGCACAGTTACTTGGTTGTGCTGTAAAATAGTAATATGTGCCTGGAAAATATATCGTACCGCCTCTTTAAGTATCGCAGTAAAACAAACAACTGAATGCTGAATACGTACAATGTTGTAAAAATACCAGATTAAACTAAATGCAGAATGCTAATTTCCGTCAGTAGTCTCATAGTTATAGACAGAAATGTTTTTACAACAGTAAAGTCGCATAAAAATGATTTTTCACAGATAATCTACCAATATAATCTGTAGTAATAGTCCTGGGAGGATTAAGATGACTAGATTCTCAATCCTCTTCTGAAAACTACACAAGAGGATTGAGGCCATTGAAAAAAACTAATTGAGACTTTTTTTCTCAAATTTCTATCTTTTTGTTAGAATTCTAGAGTTAATCTCAGAATTCTGATTTTTATTTCTCAGAATTCTGACTAGAAACTTCTGAATTCTGAGAAAAAAGCTAGAATAGTGGCCCTAATTTTCTTCCGTACCAAAAAACACCTCATATGTTATTGGAAAGTATTGAGGGCGTCCTTTTCATGGTGATGGAAAACATTCATACGGAACTCAAAAATAACCCATTTCAGATTGTTTCCCCTGATTTGTTGCAATAACAGTTTACTCTGACTACGAAGGGCTTGATAAGCTCTGCTCCTGGTACCGCAGAGTGTTTACTACATCTCCTGATAGTCGGCCCTGGCTTCTGCGTATGAAGGTGGTCTGCAGAGACTGATCCCAAGTCTTCCTGGTGCGGTTTGTGGAGGGGATCCTGTCTGATCTGAACTCCCCGTGTCTCGGCATTAATCAGCCAAGGAAGGAGGCCTTGGCACGGGAGAGGATCGGAGGCTCGTGAGGGGGAGGAGGGCTGTGATGTGTTAATAAATAAAAGGCAGTTGTGTACGATGTTGACAGCTGGGTGGTCTGGACCTCGTCATAGCCCTCTGCGACTACTCCTTACATTCCTGCGTCCGGGGCTTATCCCTGACGGTGCGCACAAAGATCACTCTCACGCTCAGTTCAAGGCTCAGGAGGAGGCGGCCTTGGCTTTGGCCTGCACCCCCCCGACCCTCCTACAGACACACACAGAGTCACACAGAGAGCAAGGACGCCCTGCAGATACTGTATGAGCAGACCTGCAGAGAGCCAACACAAACTTAGGGTGGATTCACAACTGATTTGAGACAAAATTGCAATATTTGCTACATTTTCAGCTGGGGCGGTTCACGTTCACACTGCACTGTCAAACAAACCAAACTAATTGAAAAATCTGTTCCCCTCCTCGCCTTTGGGGGGCGCTGTAGCAAGAACCACTCAAGGAAACGACAAAAATCTCTGAAGAAGACACTGAGCGCAACTTCCTTCCTCACAAAATGTACACAAAAATGGAGTGTTGTCAGATTTTAGCAGTTGTAGGATTTCTCTAAAAACAAGTTATTTTTCCCGCTAGCTCTAGACAGTCTCTTCTTCAAGTGGGATTCACAGAGGGCTGGACAATAAATCAATAACAATATATGTTGTCATAGATACATGATCAATATCAATAGATGATACGTCTGATAGAATATTCAGTAATTTCACAGAAGTTCAATCCAGAACCGCACAGCATTCTGGCTAAGCCAGGTTGGTGGAATTACTCACTCTTTGGTTACCTAGCAACTCACTCACTCTTTGGTTACCTAGCAACCCCCACCTGGTTAACTGGCGCAGTAGCAGTTTAAGTTTTCTCCACTGTGCCTCATATCTACTTAAAAATAAACAACAACATGGAGTAAAGACTGGATGAAACAGGAGACGTCACGCGTCTCAGTATTTCAGGTATTTAAAGCAAAAGAACTAATCAATAATTGTTGATATCGATCGATGTGAAATGCTATTGCCTGACATTCTCATATGAATTTGAACCAGGTTAAAGTTTGTTGCTTCTTGTATGCAACCGTGACAGCCAGAGGAAAAACAAATAAATGTCCATCCTAAAATAAACATAGAGGACAAAAATCCTCAACCTTCAGTTGAATATTTAATGTTGTAAACTGGAAATAAGAGCTGAAAATCACCAGGGTTTGAGAACTTTCCATTAGTTGAGAGAGTTGAGGTCAGCCGAAGCTCTCGTACCTGGCTGTATCGTGAGGATCCCATGCGCCTGCGCCGAGCCGATGCCGTTGTCCAGCAGACACTGGTACACGCCTTCGTCCTGCAGCGTCGCGTCTGACACCACGAGCGAGGACCCAGAGATTTGTAGGCGTAGAGATGGAGCGACAGGCTCGGCGTTGAACAACCAGGTGACGTTCGGGGACGGGTTTCCTCTCGCTGAGCAGGTGAAACGAGCAGAAGAGCCCAGTGGAACAAGCTGGTCACCCGGACCGTCGATGATGGAGGCGGGCTCTGTTAGAGAAACAGTCAGACCATCATCAGCACCAAAACGTCTGCAGACATCCTGGGTTTTCTTTAGTGCCGTCAAGCAATTAAAAAAATATTCTTAATCACACTATAGCTATTAAATACCTCTTTCTGCCACACTTCAATTAAAATGCAATCAATTACAATTATGGACAATTATGTAATTGTCTGCATTATGTAAAATAAGCGAATCAAAATCTTCTGATTAAAGGCATACGACCAAAAAAAGAGTAAATTTTTGCCAAAAACTCAGATTTTTAGATTAATCTCATACATTTTCTTTGGAAAAAAACAAGGACATTTCTGAGCTCCAAAAGTTTAAAATTTCCCTGAAAAAAAAAAAACTGAAAGTGAGATTAATCTCATATTTTCTAGAAAAAGAACATGGAAATTGGTGAGTTTGAAAAGTCGAAAAGTGAAAGAAACTCAAAAATTAATCTAAATTTTTTTTTTGAGAAAAAAACTTTTCAAAAGTTTCTGAGTTGAACTTCTGAAAAATTTAAAAAGTGCAAGAAAAACTGAAGAAATTTTGAGATTAATCTCAGAAAATTTCCAGGTTTTTTCTAGAAAATATCCAAGTTTGAAAAATTGAAAATTTGTGAGAGAAAGAACTAAGAAATTATTTCCACTTTTTGAAACAGATTTTATAGAAAAAAAGAAGCAAATTTTTGACTTTTCAAACTCAGAAATATTCTAGAGAAAAAAAAAAAAACTTCTGTGTTTTCTGGGAGAAATGTACTCCTTTTTTAATCAACAATGGCCCATATATCCCGTTGTTTTACCACGTCAACTTTGACAGCCCTAGTTTTATTTCTCTTTCTTACCGAGGACGTTTACAGTGTAGTCGGGTCCGATCGCGGCGCCCCGCTCGGTCTCGACCCTGCAGCTGTAGAGCCCTTCATCGCTCCTCGTCAGCCGGCTGAACTCCAGGTTGTTGCTTCGTCTCTGGTGCGAAGGCCCGGATGCCCGGACCTCCTGACCGTTCTTAAACCACGTGGCTGCAGGCGCAGGACTCCCGGTGACGACGCACTCCAACGTCAGCGGCTCCGAATGCAGCATCGAAACCGACACCGGAGCGGTGGGATAAACTATCCGAACCGAGGAGGAGGAAGAGGATCCTGCACACAAACGGGTAACGAATCACTAACAGGAAGTAGTAAAAACAAACAGAAATCTGCATCTTTTTATGAGTTTTACTGACGTTTGACTAGCAGCTTGACGCCGTGGGACTGAACAACGGTTTCCCCGGTAACAGGGTTCACGGCGCCGCACTTGTACATGCCCTGGTGCTGGGCCGACACCGAGACAATCTGCAGGTTGCCGGATGGAAGCAATAAATAGTTATCTGAAAAGAGAGAACAGCACATTCAGTTACAGCGTTTAGTGGGTTACATGTAACAAGGGTGGAGAATTTCTCTTTTTTATGCAGCACAAGTAAACTTTCACCTCCTTTTGATAACCGATCCGTACTTTACAGTTTTGACTATTTTAGATTTTATTATGAGACGGGATGTTTGCAAGTAAAACGTAATTTAAAAAAGAATAAAAAAAGAAGACAGAACTGCTGCTGTTAATAACTTTTGTACAGTTTTGGCTTCATTCTGGTATATGATATTTATTTTTTTAGCAATTTGCTTTTTTTGAGTCTACACTCGATTAATAGATTACTAAATTAGTTAATGATTATTTCAATAATAGATTAATCGTGACTGTTTCATCCCTACAACGATTAACTGCATTTGACTATCCTGTACCAAAGTGTGAATCGGATTCTGATATGTAAATATGATTAAATCGATTAATCATATCTAAATGTGATTAATCGATTAATCATTCTATTTACATAGAGAGAAGGGTTTTTAATTGAAATGTGAAATAATATTTTTGTACAGTTTTGGTTTAATTGCTGCTCTGAATGCTGTTTTTAAGCAACTTGCCTTTTTCCGAGTAATTGATTACTTGATCAATTACTAAATTTGTTGATTATTTCAGTAAATGATTAATCATAAAAGTAAACATAATCACAATATGATTATGAATTCTCCACCTAAAAGTTAAGCAAGACCATAAAAAGACTAAAATTAATTCTATAACTAATAAATCTAAACGGTATTTAACTAATAATAACAAGCAAACAACCAACTAAATTAATCAAACAAAAAGTCATAACAAAATGAAACTAAGATATAATCAAAAACTCAAACTTTTATGACCCTGATATGAACTGGAACACATTTGTTTTGCAGTGAGAGGTCTGGCTCTCCATGAAATAAATCATTATTAACGTTAAAATGTCCCGTGTTTACGTAGCTTCAAACAAACCTCTTGACTCTTCGATCCAGTCGCCTCTGACTCTCAGTTTGGGCCGAGCCGGCGGAGCGCTGCGCGGCAGCGGACACTCTATGACCGCCGTGCCGCCTTCCTGCGCCGACACCGCTCGCCGTCGCCCGGCTTCATATTCTGATATTTCTGCATGAAACGGAGAGAAAAACACCCACTGAGCCACGGCGCTACTTGAAGTGAAGCTGTTTGTGTTGGATCGCCGGGTTTGTTTATTGTTGCAGAGAGGGATTCGGTTCGTGCCTGATACGGCTTCCGATCGGGGTCAAGCACTTAACGTGGAGGCCAAGAGAAAGCAGCGTCCCAGCAGGAGCATAACACGCTTCCACACAGGAAAGCCCAAGGCTCATTAAGGATAGCAGACAAGAGGCATCTGGACGGCTGCCTGACTAAAACTCCAACTGCTTCCTTCCCGTCCGCCACTCAGCGGCCGGCAGCCGAGGCTACGCTTCCTTTCTACTTGTTCGAAACGCATAAATGGACTTCCTTTACTCAAGGATGCTCCCTCTCTTTCTTCAACGCTCTTTGAAGTGAAGTGTGCAGATTATGATCCGTGGCGATACGTAGCGATACATAGCGTCTTTTTATTCCTCCATTTGGGTCTAAAATCAGCCCAAACACTTAACAAAAGAGGAAAAAGAAACACCCAGCTGTTTTTTGGCAGTAAGTTCATGTTTTCTGGTGCCTGGAGAGTGAGCCGTTGAAAAAATATCCCGAATGTAACGTCACAAATCGGCACCGTTACTTAGCAACCCCAGCGGAACTCCACCCATCGCCTAGCAACCCAAGCCGAGTCCAGCACTCTGCTTTCTTAAAAATTCAGAAATACAAAAATACTTTATTGATCCTAAAGAGAAACTAAATGCTGTGGTTAGGCGGGTCACAATAAGTAGTAAATAAATTAAAATAAAATTAAAACAAGCTCAATAAACTCTCTCTTTCTACCAAAGGTTGGATGACTAAAGTCTTCATTCAAGTGCTTTTTTTTTTGAAGGATAATTTTGTTTACAGACTTCATGATTCATTTTCTGTTCAGTTTATTTATTTTTGGATATGTAAAATGTCTTCCAGTTGCAGTGTTAGAATTTAAAGTTTATTGATCTTTGAAACTGTGTTCTTGCACTATTACCATTATATTACTTAAAAATGATTTCAAAACAACAATATTAATGTTTATTAAAATAACTTCTGGGGCAATTTATTGTCCAGAAAATGTGTTACTGCGACAGTCCCAGATGTCATTAACTCAGAAGTCTTCAAAGAATTAAAGTAAATGGCAAAGCAGGAAAAATCTCCTGTAGCAGTCTGTATTGAAGAAGCTTCTGACTAAAGACAATGAATGGGTTGGCATAAGTCTAAGGTGTTATAAAAAAATATGTTCATTATATTTTTTGCACAAAATCATTCTTAAATAAAAAGTTTTTTGTCTGATCAGTTTTGGACTCCTTTCAGATTGAGTTGTTTTAGGGTTTCTGTCACTTTAAATCAAAATTAGCTGCTGCTGGCCACGTCCCCAACTCAGTGTTTACTCTCACACATGAAAATAACTGCAAACAGATGTGCAATTATACAACTGTACATCTTTTAAAAGCATTAGTAGAGCCTCCTACACAACCAACAAGAATGCAACAAGTGGTTTCTGAATGGCAAGTCAACAACAAAACACTGTTGTTCTCTTTTCCAGCAGCCATTGTACAGGGCATACAACCAGCTGACCAAACGTACTGGAGCTTTGCTTGCATTGCTAGGTGACGGGGTGGGTTCAGCTGAGGTTGCTAGGTAACGGAGCAACGCCCCTTGAATGTGTCTTAATCGGGACGATTTTGAAACTGCTCCTTTTCGAGACACCAAAAACTGGCTGTGTGTGTTTTTTTTAAGAGCTTTGGCTGTTTTTAAAAGCAGCTAAAGAACAAAAACATATAAAATGTGAATTATGTACAACAGGTCCCATTTTCAAACAATAAAATCGGTTTACCGCCCAGCTCTAATCCGTACCTGCTAGAGCCACCCGGGCGAGGCGGCTGGCGACGGCCGGCCCGCGGCCCGAGCGCGCCACACACTGATAGACGCCGGCATAGTCGGGCGTGAGGCTGGAGATGACCAGGGAGCCGCGGCCAAGCTCCACCCCAGGCAGCGCGTCCCGGTCCAGGGGACGGCCTCGGAAGCGCCAGGAAACCGCCGCCGACGGAGGGCTCGCTGAGCACTGCAGATGGACCGCAGAACCTGGACTCTGGACCACAGAGGTTGGCTCAGAGCGGAGAGACGGATACTGAGCTGGAGAGAAAACATGACAGGAGAAACGGGTCCAGAAACGTGAATCATCTGATTGCACCGCATTACGACATGCAGACTGGGATTTCTCACTAATAACATCAACACTGGGAGGCTCCGACACTCGGCAACATGCTTTTCCTTACGAATACTAAGAACTGGAACAATTTAGAGATGATTAACAGTTCATTTGGTTTTTAAATTAGTCCTGCAAAGTAAAAAAAAAAAATCCAAATGTGCCACAAAAAAGCAGCAAACACCAGTTAGCAGTGGTACATTAAATGTCACCGTTTAAAAACTGATGGTAGTGAAAAAAAATTTATAAGCACTTTTTCATCAATATTAAGTCAACTTAAAACTTAAAACAAGCTCAGGTTTCCTGTTGAAAAGCTACTACATTAGTTTCTCTTGTTTCAAATGTACTAAGATATTTGGACTAGAAACTAGACCAAAAATATTAAAATTATTGATTAATCGTGATTAATCAATTATTAAAATAACCGTCAACTCATTTAGTAATTGATTAATTGTTAATTGCAGTATAAAGACTCAAAAAGAGGCTATTTGTTGAAAGGACAACATATTCAAAGCAGTAATTAAGCCAGAACTGTCCTAAAAATATAAAAATTAGCATTTAAGATTAAAAAACATCTTTGTCTGTAAATCATTTCTACCCAGAACTCCTCAAGTTGAATAACTTTAACTTCACCTGGTTCAAATTCTGTAAAAATAAACACCTCGTGTTAAGCATATCCAATTATTAATCAGTTAATATACAGATCTGTTCCACGCTGTATGAAGTCAAGCAGAAACTGCTGAGCTTTTCACATATTGTAAATATTTTTCTTAGCTGCAGATGATCAAAATGTTCTCTAAAGAAATGCTGCTATTCCATTTTAGGCAATAAAACATTTAGTTTCTCATTTTAAAAAAAGGAATGAAATACCTTGCTTATATTTTTATGTATTTCTAATGCTGCATTAAAAAAAGGCTTAAGTGGTTAAATAAAAAAAATCTCTGGAACAAAACAATTTTTAAAAATCCAATTAATCGACAATCGATCGACAATAATCTGATTGTTTTCTGCCTGTTCTGGTTTCTATTTTCCACTTTTTATTTTTGCATTTTAAGCTTTAGATCAGGGGTGTCCAAAGTGTGGCCCATGGGCCATTTATGGTCCCTGAAATGATTTTGATCGGTCAAATCAAAATTTGGCCAACATAATATTGAAAAAAAAACTGAATATTTGGATATTGTCCGTTTTTCTTGTCTAAAGCTGTTTTTTATTTTATTTTAGGATCTTAAAGGATTTATAGATTTCATAAAAAATGTTTATTAGAGAAGATAGAACTAAAAAAAAGGGATTTATTTTTCTCTTAATAATTCAGATGTTTTTATAAAAATACCATAAAAGTAAGTTAAGTAAGTTAAAAAGCCAGGTTGTCACTGATGCATTTAAAGAACAAAAACAGTGGGAATTTTCAGTTTTGATTAATTTACGGCAGTGTTTCTCAACTCTGGTCCTCAGGCCCCCCCGCTCTGCATGTTTTAGATGAGCCTCTATTCCAGAACAGCTGATTCAAATGATTGTATGACCATAAAGTACTGCAGAAGCCTGTTAATCACCCAGAGATACAATTCAGGTGTGAAACACCTAAAACATGCACGGCAGGGAGGCCTGAGGACCGGAGATGAGAAACACTGATTTAAGGGAAGAATAGTTGGAACTTACTTGAGCAGCTGATAATCTGGCTGAGCCACAGCACAGTGGACAGGAGGACCCTTAGGCCACTGTCCATGGCGGCCTTTGACCCCAGCCAGCGGCCGTGTTGCCTGGAGCGCGCGTCCTCTCCCGCTTAGAAAACCTGAAACAAACACAGAGAAAACCAGACACACTAAATAAATTTAAAAAGCAGAAAAAAGGTGCGACTTTATGGCTGGAAAACTGATTTTATTACAGTTTTTATTCTTGTTCTTGTAAAACATTCCCATTTTAACAGGCTTAATCTGGACGCCGCTAAATTAAAAATGTGATTTATTACATTAAGCTGCACACAGAAACTGCATTTAATCATATTGTTGAATTTAGTGATATCACGGTAAAACCAAAAATAATATTTCCAATCCAAATGTCAGTTTAGCCTGGACGATAAGGCTGAAAAAGTATCACGATACGAGGGTTTCATATCAGTCGATATATTATAATTACTGATTAGTTTTTCGTTTTAAATATCTGAAATACTGCTGGACGGGGGCGACATTTCCTGTTCTATCCAAGGTTTTCACTCCATGCTGTTGTTTTTTATTTTTAATCAGTTATAAGGAACAGAGGGGAAACCTTAAACTGCTGCTGTAAGTTACTCAACAGGTTGTTGCCAGGCAACCAAAGAATGGGTGGGTTGCTAGGTAACCAAAGAGTGAGTGAGTGAGTGAGTGAGTGAGTGAGTGAGTGAGTGAGTCAGCTGATTCCACCAACTTTTCTAGAGGTTGTGAGGATACAACTCTGTCAGTTTTGTTTTTTTTATTTAACATCAATAAGTCAAATTCGTTACAATAAAAAGAATACAGTAAATCAAAAGTCTTGTAAGAAATGTTCAACAATAAATCATCATCAGCTTTATTTATAAATCGGTTTAACAGCAGAAACAAAGCGAGGAACATCAGTAAAATTACACAGACAAAAAACAGTTTTTATTAAGTAAAGTCACGTCTGAGTTGGGTTGAAGGTCAATGAGTGAAAATAAATGTTAATATAAATGATAAGTGATGACATAAAAAGTCTCCCTCACTTCTAATATCCCCTGTTGTCCCACCGAGTTTCTCCTCACCAGCAGAAGAGCCAGAGGACGAGAGGAGTAATTAGGAGCATTCCTCCATCTTTTCAACTCAAACCCTCTGAAAGCTCCTCCTCCACCTCCTCCTCCTCCTGGCTTTGATCCCCTGCTCCTGGTTGGTAACCGGGCCCGGAGCCTCAGGCGGCTCAGACAATGGCCGCCCAGCTGTGACATTCACGCTGGCGCTCCGGCGGCTCGCAGCCACCGGCGTTCGGGGCTGAGGGGGCAGAGGGGAAAAGCGCGGCGCCTGGTTGGGAAGGCAGGAGGTGAGCAGGTTTCTAACCCTCATTCTTCAGGCTGAGATGTTGTTTCAAACACCTGACAATCAGTCAGGTCAGTTTGCTTGGCCTCCCGTCGGAGAGCAGGAGCTCATTTTCAGTTCCGACAGAGGAAAACTCAACTGATGCGTAGGAATTTAAAGCAAATATAGAGAACAGAACACAAAAATATTACCAAGTGTGTTTGGTGCAAATATCTTAATACACTTTAAATAAGTCTAAACTAATGTAGAAAGACATGGGAGCTTGTTTTAATTCCTTAATATTTATGAAAATCACAGAAAATTTCACTTTTGACATTGAACACATTTATTTTTTCATTAAATAATCTGACAATGTAGCTAATATTTTAAAAAAATAAATATAAAGGAATTATTTACATTGAATCAAGCTTCTATCCATCTTACTGATTTTTCTTACTGATAAGTTAGATTTTTCTTATTTCATATGTAATAAGATATTTGTACTGGAAACTAAATCAAAACTAATTGGTAAGATTTTGAGTTTTTGCAGTGAATAAAGCCAACACAACTTGGGAGAGAAAGTACACTGCAAAAACAAATTACTACCCAGTATTTTTAGTCTACTGTCTAGTGTGGATATCTTAGTACACAAAAGTCGTTTTTCTCTTAAACATGGGAAAAATGTCTTTATTTTAGTGAAATTATCTGCTAATGTAACTAGGATTATAGAATTAAATTGAAACAAGCTCCTAAATCTCACTGAAAGTGAATTATAAGTTCGTTTTGTCTTATTTCAAGTGTACTAAGATATTTGCACTATAAAGTAGAGCAAAACTACTTGGTAAGATTTTGTCTTTTTGCAGTGAATAAAGCCAACGCAGCTTGGTAGAGTAGGCACACTGCAAAAACCCAAAAGTATTTTTAGTCCAGTTTCTAGAGCAAATACCTTAGTACACTTGAAATAAGACAAAATTAATTTGTAGCAAAATATAGGAGTTGGTTTAGGTCAATAATTCATAATATTGATGAATAACTTTTAGTTCCAAAGTCAGATTATTTTCCCCATGCTATAAGTGAAATAATCTGAAAACAGAACTAGAACTTTTTCACCTATATTAAGAAAGTATTGACTTAAAACAGCTCGTATATCTTGCTGAAAGTTACTTATGAGTCAGTTTTGTCTTATTTCAAGTGTACAAAGATATTTGCACAACAAACTAGATGAAAAATACTTGATAAGATTTTGTGTTTTTTGAAAATCCTTCAAAATTTGCCAACTTGTCCTGCTATAAACAGCAGATTCAGCATGTCAAGCTGTTTAAACTGCACAGTTTAATTCTAATGCAAATTAGTTTAAATGTCAAAACTCCGGCCTTATTGATGTCACCCGACTCTGTCTCTTCATCGGAAACCTGACAGAGAAGAGGAGGAGGAGGTGAGAGGAGGCAGGAAATAATAAACTCTTCCAGCTCCTGGCTCACGCCCCCTTCTCACTCCGGGGTCAGAGGTCAAGGAAGAGCAGAGGGAAAGGACAAACCAGCGGGTGTCTGGTGACCCCGGGTCACCCTCGCTTCTTACTGTTTCAATCACAAACCAGCCTTTTCTCCACATTTTAACACACAGACTGGTGAGCAAAACCTGCCAATTATCAACACTAACTGAAGGGCTGGACAATAAATCAATAAAATATCACAATATCAGCAGATAATAGAACATTCAATATATGAAACATTCACTAAACCACACAGCATTCTGGGGGATGAAGGCAGAGGAAAGACTTTAGCTGATCAACCTCTCAGAGTGAGCTAAGAAAGGCTGGGGGAGCTCGCTCGCTCACTCACTCGCTCACTCTTTCGTTACCTAGCAACTCTCTCACTCTCTGGTTGCCTAGCAACAACTTGTTGAGTAACTTGTGCAGGAGCAGTTTAAAGTTTTGCCACTGTCCTTCATAACTGCTTAAAACTAAAAAACTAATCAGTCTGTGCTGACCTAAAGAAGCTAAAATGGCATTAAAATGTAATTTCTCTATAAAAACAGTCGCTACAGCGACTGTTTGTACTAAAACATAGGGTGTTGTCATACTTTCAACAACAACAAATGCTAATGTTGTATCCACTTATGTTGTGGCTCTTAAAGAAAATCTGTCAAAGTCAGTATCAGGAGGAAAAAGCTTTAAAAAAAACCATAAGTGAGAAAATCAGCTATGAAACATTTGCTTAGTGATGCTATCTGTGCTGTTTTAACCCCAATAAGCTAACAATGGTGTAAAAATGTCAACTCCCTGATAATCTCTTGGTTTTTAAAGAGTAAAACAGTGTTTTAGAGAGACTATTTCTTACACATGGAGTGACATCATCCTTTCTTTCAACATGAAAACGACCACCTACTCCAGGAAGGTTAATAAACTACTGCTAGTTTGAATGTTGGTTTATCCTCGTGTAAATGACTCAAATAGAAATCTAAATTTGTCAAAACTAGAATCTGGAGGCAAAAGTTTTACAAAAACCATACATGGGAAATGAGCTACAAAATTTATGTTAGCAGTGTTAACCCATAGAAGCTAAAGATGCTAACTGTGCTAACCCCAACAAGCTAAGCAGGGGGTTAAAATGTCAACTCCATGACCATTCTTCTTGGTTTTAAGAGAGTAAACAGGTTTAGTGACTGTTTATTCTATCCAGGGTTTGACGTTAGCCTTTCAATAAAAAAAAAAGTCTAAATGTAAAAAAAAAAAAAAAGTCCACTTCAGCAAGGCTAGAAAACTATGGCTAGTTTTCACGTTATTTTATCCTTTTATATTACGGCTCTTAAAAATAATCTTGGGAAATGACCTACAAAATTTGCTGGTGATTGAACTCCCACAATACGTCCAAAACTGAGTTAGCACAGGTAGCACCGTGCTAACGTTTTAACCCCAAGAAGCTAAAGAAGGGGTTAAAATGACAACTCCATGATCATTTTGTCTCTCATGATCATTTTGTCAGCGTTTTATAGTCTAATGTCACTAGCGTGACATTAGACTTTATTTCAATAAAAAAATAATGACATGGAAGATAGAAAACTACTGCTAGTTTTAATGTTAGATTATCCTCTTAAATTATGGGTCTTAAAGAGAAATCTGAAAATTAGTATCAGGAGGCAAAAGCTTCACAAAAAACAAAATATGCTCTCTGATGCTACCTGTGCTAACCACAGGAAGCTAATAATTGTATTAAAATGTAATTTCTCTGTTTTTAAAGAGTAAAGCAGAGTTTTACAGTGACTGCTCTGTCTTACACATGGTGTGACATCACCCTCTTTCAACAACAAAGACAGACGGCTTACTCTAGCAAAGCTAGAAAACCACCACTGCTTTGAATGTTTTATCGCAGCTCTTAAAGATAATCTCTCAAAATTAGTGTCGGGAAGCAAGAGCTTTACAAAAAGTCCAACAGTTGGGAAATAAAGTGCAAAATTCCAGCTGTTGCATCTCCAAGCAGTGCAGAACATTTTACTGAAAAAGAGACAAAAGAGCTGATCAAAATGGAAACGCAACCCCCTCTCGCACACTGAAACCTATCATTATTGACTAAGTATCTGGAAATTTGATGCTGGGGCTCAGAGTCACACCTCAGGATGTATATTCTTTGCATTTCCAGCTGAGGTTTAAATGTGAGCATGCTCAGTCAGGCACATCAACCCACATCAGACAGAGGCTGGCGTTTCTCCATCTCACAGGTCGCAACAAGCCCTGCACGCTGCCCCCATGTCAGCGCTGGAAAATCCTGCCTCTGCCGGAATAATGATATAT